TGAGTACCACAAGAGTTAAAAAAAGGGGGGAACTGGACACATATGTAATACCCTTTGTAATACTTTAAGCAATTTAAAAAAAAAAAGTCAAACAATGAAAAAATAAAGTAGAAATTGAAAGTCAAAAAAAAAAAAAGAGTTAGAATAAGGAAGGAGAGATCATGTAATCTAAGAGGGGCACACGGGCTTCCAAAGTCCTGGCAATGCTCTCTCTCTCTCACATCTGGGTGGCAGTTACACAGGTATTCATTCTTTATTATGACCAATAAATGTACATATAGGTTTTTTCCTCTCTGTATAAATGAGATGCTTCACAATACAATTTTAATTTTTTAAAAAATGTAAGAGGGTGCTCACTGTGTTCAAAACTGCTGAGAAGATGAAGGTTCAAAATATCCACTCTATTTAATCCTAGGGGGGCAATGAACTTACCAAGACCCAATCTGAGTGCTATAGGTATTGTGATTACTAATTTACAAGTGAGGAGACTGAGAATAAGGCAATAATTTGCCCACGCCCCACAGCTAATGAGGCTTAGATACAATCATTACTCATGTTTTACAAATGAGAAATCTCACTCCCCTCATCAAAATTGTCAAAGGTGTATATCACTTCTCACCATGTAAAGGTGAAACTCTTTAGCTTAGCATTCAAAGCCTCCCACCATATGGCTTTCCTTCATTCCAAATCCTATCTCCCCTAATTCCCATGTATTCCTGCCCTCCAGCAAACCAGACGACATGCCATTCCACAAATACACCTTATTCTTTCCCAGCACGCCACCTTGGCTCTTGCTTCCCCTGTGTGGGCAACAGTCTTTGTCTTCTCTGCCCTGAAGAGGCTCTATAACCTCTAGCTGCATCAGTGGGCATCTTTCAGTCAATCATGTCACTGCCCCATTGTGGCACTCTCCCTTCCTCTTTGAAATCAATTTAAAAATGTATTAAAAAAATTCGGTGATGGATAGAATATGGGAAGGGAATCAGAGGTATCAAGAATGATCCTGAATTTCTGGTTTGTATAATAGGATGGAGGGTGGTACCATTCACTGAAATATGCAAAACTAAAAGACCAGTTTGGGTGGGTTAGGGGATGGTAAAAATCATCAATCTGGGGGGGGAAATCATTAATCTGGACTTGGACAGGTCAGATCTGAGGTGCCTTTAAGGCAACCAAGACTGGGTATTAAGTAGGCACTTGGATATACAAATGTGGAGTTCAAAGGAGAGCTCTGACCTCGGAAAATAAATGAGATCCCCTTGGCAGAGTATAGAGTAAAAAAGAAAGGTCCTAACACCAAGAATTAAGGGACTTCAACATTGAAGGGCTGACAAAGAAAGGTGAGCTAGCAAAAGAACTACCAGAAGAGTGCTGTACACCGGGCACCAGGGGAAGAAAAGTGTTTGCCATGACCTGCTAATGTCAAATGTACGCATACCATATGACCCAGCAATTCCACTCCTAAATATATACCTTGCAGTAACTTTCTGCACATGTGCACCAGGAGAAAAGTTTAAAAATATTCACAGCAGCGTTGCTGAAAATAACAAAGTTGTAAAGAATCAATATTAGATAGGGTAAACTGTAGTGCAGACACACCATGAATACTATCCAACAGTGAAACTAAATAAACCAAAGGTATACACAGCAACGTGGAAGAATCTCACAATGCTGAACAAAAGAAATGTTGCCGAAGATGATATACTGTATGATTTCATAAAACTACAAAGTATTACCTATAACTCAAAGTATCCCATGAATCAACCTTAAGAGCAGGCAACTAAATAACACATTGTTGGATGTTTAAGCAACTCAGAAAGCAGGGGATGAGTACCACAAGAGTTAAAATAAGGGGGGAAATGGACACATATGTAATACCCTTTGTAATACTTTAAGCAATTTAAAAAAAAAAAGTCAAACAATGAAAAAATAAAGTAGAAATTGAAAGTCAAAAAAAAAAAAGAGTTAGAATAAGGAAGGAGAGATCATGTAATCTAAGAGGGGCACACGGGCTTCCAAAGTCCTGGCAATGCTCTCTCTCTCTCACATCTGGGTGGCAGTTACACAGGTATTCATTCTTTATTATGACCAATAAATGTACATATAGGTTTTTTCCTCTCTGTATAAATGAGATGCTTCACAATACAATTTTAATTTTTTAAAACATGTAAGA